AATCTTGTCTGGAAATCAACAAACATAAACAGTGGAAGGGTGGAAAAAAGAGCTTTGAAAACACATTGCTGAGGATCATTGGACAAAGATTCAAGCGTTTTATTTTTAACTTTTAGTCCAGAGCAAAATCTAAAATAAGAGCTTATGCTGAGCAACAACATCTGCAGATACATAAAGATAGCGGCACGGTTAATAAATTGCATTTTTATTGAATAATCTGGAGTTAAATTACCAATTCATTAATTATGCTTATCTCGATTAAAGGCGCTTTAAAAAAGCTTTCTTTTTTTGCAGCAGATGATAAACAACCTCGTTCTTTGGTGCTATCTGATATTACGCGTTGTTTTGAATCACGTACATCTCTGCCTCAACGAAACATTCATGCCGGCGTGCAAGCAGTTGGCTCTCTTCTCCTCCAGTTCTCAGAGGAAAGAACAAGCGAGCTGTGGTTGGAACAGCTCTGAACTTTTTAAAGACGTGCATCAACAAATCATGCCCCAGCTCATACAAAACGGGTCTGATAGTGGCTGGAAATAGCAGCAGAAGAGCTTCTGCGTCGCCCCATGTCACCACACACACACACAAACACGCATACACACACCTCAAGGTTTGTCAGAGTGTGTGGTGAGGGAAGGTTGAGGCTTCAGGTTTTGAAGCACGAGGCAGGGAGATGGAAGTTTAGTTTTGAAACGTATTCCACGACAAGTCGCTTGTGTCTTGCTGAAAAGCGTGTTGACTGTTTCAGTTCTTCGAGTTAACGACGCACCGTGCTTTTACAGTCCTTCCAACACGTCTCCAAACACGCAGCTATTTTATTCAAAGATGAATCATGACAGCTTCAACAAATGATTTATCCCAAATAAGGAAAAGTGTCATCATTTGCTCATCATTGCTCTTTAATTTAAGTTGAATCTTGATTTGATATTTTCCACGTTTTCTGCTTTGAAGGAACTTTTTTGTGCTGTAATTTATTGTCACAAAACAATTATTGCAAAAACTTATTGTAAAATATACCAAAATACAGGAAAACGTGACAAATATCACAGCTTTTGAATATAAGTTCTTAACTTTTCGAATTTATCAAGCAGATTTTAGGCAAAAAGAAATCGCAGTCACCTTTGTTTTTCCTTCATTTTGATTACACTAGACGAAGAAAATGAGGAGGGAGGATCCGTCTTTGGCCTTTGGTCTACAGGTTACTGTGCCCTCAGCACACTCACACACATACATAGGCATATGAGCGCACAAACACACACATACACACACACATATACATGCACACCCAAACACACTGGCAGCACGGGGAGAGACGTGCTGTAATCTGGAAGGCAGGAAACAAAGGGCCTCGTTAATGCAGAGACTCGCAGGGGCCTTTGATGTGGAGCCAAGCCATTCACTCCTTGCTCCACACACACACACACGCACACACTTAGAAGATGACATAAACATGCACATGTGCGCACATCCAGACGTGCTCATGTGCCTTTTTCAAAAAAAAAATGCTGAAAAGAGTGCAATCTGCATGAGTGGAGGCAACGTGCCTGCTATTTAAAGCTTGATGTATTAGATTTGAATCAGCCGGCAGCAAACACGCTCACACGCTGATGAACCACAAAGCTACAGCTTGGTTGAATGGAAACAAACTTTCCCCCCCCACCTCTTTGCACGTTTTGAGTTGTGATGTCAGTTCCCACCATTTGCTGTTTGATTTCAGTAATCACAAAACGAGTTAGTGATTTGGCTCGTAAACTCAAGAAATTTGTTCTCCTGGGGTAGAAAATGTGGTGGTTGTGGTAGTCGTACGGCAGAATGAGATTATTTACCAACATCAAAACGTGCCACGAGGGGCCAGGTTTGGTGAGATTTGGTGCGTAAATACGATGAAGGGGGCAATGCTTCGGGGTTGCACGGATTAGTATGTGAGGTCCTTTTTGCGAAAGGAGAGACTCGTTGTCACATAATAAGGAATTAAAGATCTTGTTTGCATTTGGGTAGCTCTTCAGCTACACTTCTGTGCAGTCCTCCAGAAAACCAACATCGCTTTGACCAAAAGGCAGTGGCTTACTGGTTGATAAGAATGCTTGAACAGGAAAGGTAGTAAAAGATCAAAAAAAGCATGCACGAAAAGCACAAAGTGGTTGCAATGGACAGTTTCCACTGTTTCTGACACCTCGACACAAAGAAGCTCTTTGTGCATTATGACTTCTGTGTTCTCTGTAGCAGGTGCTGAGCTAAAGGAGCAAAAACAGGCAGCATAAACACAAACAACAGTAGCCCACATGTTTTTGACAATGCCCCCCTGGTGAAAGTACGCAGCTGCAACATGTAACTTATGGTCTGCACAGCTCCGCGTAGGACCGAGCTACAGCCAGGCTCGGTCCTTGTAGTAATATTGCAATAAGCAATCTTTGTTGCAGGGCTGCAACTGGTGGTAAGCAACCTTGAGATCAAGATTGGAAATTGTTTTGGAGTTAAAATAAAAGCTATATATACATTGTGTAGCATGGTCTCCGGGAATGGCTTACTTTATGACTTTTGGTTATCTTTTGACCTTTACTTTAGCATCACCTTGTGGCTGACGTTTTGTTTTTTCAGTGACCGACAGTCGGTGTGAAAGACAGGACATGTGAGATGAGGCAGATAGTCTGCTGTGGCTACCTGAAAGAAGAAGAAGAAGAAGAAAGTGAATGAAAGTAGATTTCATTAAAAAAGATGACAAACTTGCAGAAAACTTTGTTTTCACAAAACTAAATTTCTACCCACCTCTAAATGTTTTCAGTAGCAAATATTAGCGTGCCAACTGCAATAGCATTTAGCTCGAAGCACTGCCATGTGCCTACAGAGCTGCCCAACCCCCTTTAAAAAAAATCACCCTCAGAAGTTTGATGTTCAATAAAACCTTACGTGAAGCATCACCTTTAGTATTGATCCACTATTATGACTTTCAATTATTGTATACAGTGTGCCACATTTCTAAGGTAGCGGATGTCACAATATAGTGTAACATGGTCTGAGAGTAATTATGATAATTTCTTGTGTTATTGTTGTTAGTATTGTTGTTGTTATCCTAGTTGAGTGGCTAATCCCTCTTGCAGCATATTGTAATGCAGAAAGCTGCAGCTGCCTGGTTAGTGCGGCCGTGCTGTTGTTTTCCTCTGCTGAGCCAACCTGATATTAGTGGTTAGTGTGTTTGCCACAGGCAGAGAGGCCCGACTCTATCTGATGAAGAGTCATCGGGAAGAGTCAGAATGCCCTGCATGAAACCGGACACTGATAAAGTCTTTTCAAGCCTCGTGCTAATCGATTCAGCTGGTTCTCTTGTCTTTGGCGTAAGTAGATGTGAGAGATGTTTGGCGAGTTTAATTTCTGATTCTTTGAATTTCATTTTTGGGTACCTTTGATTGCATCAGCTTGGTTTTCTCATGTCGGTTTAGGACTCTAATGAATGCATATAAAAAAAGAAGATTGCACTCATTTGGTTCCAGTGCTAAGACCACATTGGTTTACAGAATTTTTTTAAGGTGACGATCGCTCTTGTATTTTCCTCTTCAGCTGCTTTGTTTGCTTTAGTGCAAAAGAAAAAAAAATTCTTTGTGGAAGAGAAATTTTTATTAAAAAACGGTCGATTTTTGTCGCAACTTTTACAGTAACAGCTGCTCTTCTTTCATTCACTTTGCTCCTTTAATTGTAGTCTACACGCCGTGGAAAAAGCTGTAAAGTCAGAGCAGATTTATAATTCTTTTAGTGTAAACTCACTCGCCGGCTCCGTACCCACTCTCCATTTGCAGTCTCCCATGAAAACCATGTTGTTTAAAACAGTCAGTGAACCAAATCTCAACATTTATCTTCGCTGCGTCCACCTTTACGTACTGGTCGACTTAGCTGCCAAGAGACTGGAAAATGGTAAAATAAAAAATCACTTTGTGTCTGGCACAGAGAAGCACTTGTGGTGGCGCTGATGAGTTAACCATACAGATTCCCCAGATGGGCCATTATATGGACTTTGATATAAATGGTAGTGCCGGGCAGGGAGTGTGGGTGGCCATGTTCGTACTGAAGTGGTGGGCAGCTCAAGGGTACTGGTGGTTAATGATGATGGCCACACACACACACACACACACACACACACACACACTGGATCCATCAGTTTCCACACTCAAAATGAACAAATATAATGTAATACTTGCAACAATTTACAACTTGCACGCTGACCTTTATCTTATCAAATTTCACAACACTTGATTTTATTTTCGGGCGGCAGGCAGGTGTTTTTTCTCTTTTCTTTTTCAAATGGTAAAGTGTGGTATCTCCACTTGAAACAAAAGTCAGTAAATGTGTGCCAGCAGCCAGTTGTAATGGCTGCATGTGTTCAGCGGAAAGAGCAGAGACCTACATGAAAGCACACACACACAGTGCAAAGGCACAAACCACACACAAACCTCGATGACAGCTGCGACAAGCCAGACAATTCACCTACAATGACAAGGAACAAAACTAAAACTAAAATCACAATTACAGCCTCAACAAATCCACTATTGTGTTTTCTCCCCTCTGGCTTTTTCTTCTTCTTCTTCTCTCTCTTTTTTTTTTCCAAAAAAGGGGAGCGTCACAAATCCAGAGAGAGATCAGAGCGCTCTCAAACTAAGCCTCCATTTACTCTGATGGCAGGCCTATTAAATGCGTGCGTCCACAGTGGTCTCTTTCTAGTGGTGAGTGGGCGGCTCAGAGTCCTGCAGTTGACAGTTAGCAGCCGATTCTGGGATCAGTTTTTCCGCAGCAAAGGGACTGATGTGGCCCAGAGGAGGATGTGGATTCCTATGATGGATCATTGTTTAGGTTTGGGGAGTGGGTGTGTGTGTGTGTGTGAGCTTTTGTGTGTCTGCGTGCGTGTATTTGTGTGAGTGTTTCCGTGCCACTCCATGCAGGAGATCAAGGACCTGCAGTTCATGCATGCATGTTCACTAACAAACATCCACAATGGAAGCAGTAAACATAGGCACTACACATCTGCACACACACACACAAAAGGAAGCAGAAAAAGCACAATTTTAAGATCTCTTGTGCAACAATCACCTGATATAACTGTCATTTTCTCACTTGGCATTAATGTGTATGTGCTGACCAATTAAAACCACGCTGCCCCATTATTATTGATATTTATATTACCATATAAAAAGGAGTTAATATCTTCATATTAATGTTCCTTTATGTAGCAAGTACCAAAATAAAGAACGGAAACATCTGTATTACTTATTTTTAATAGGTTTATACATTGGTGTCTATGTTTTTGTCTGGTGGGAGTAATAATATGTTGGGAGTTACTATTAAAGTTGGAGATGTTAGCATGAGTGGCATAGCCTCGGCTACTGCTATTTATCTATTCATTTATATATAAAGTGACAGACGACCACATACACCCTTTGAATGATTCCAGAAAATCTACAGCTATCCTGGATGTTCAGGGTGAGCACGACTGATGACTGTGAGAGGATGAAGGTCTCATGTCCTCTTCTTTCAATGGGCGAGGTGCATTATTTCCCGATATCCAAATAACGGGTTGACATCCCTGGGGAAGTTACATAAAAGGATGAAAATGTGGGTCAGGCTTAGTAAAAGTTGCATTTGCCTTTCATTAAAACATTGCTGCACAAGAATGCTTGAAAAAAAAAGGCATTTTACATCCCTCTGAAAAAACTTATATTTGGAGATGTGAAGGATTCTGCAGGACTGGGATCACAAGACTTACAACTTAAAGAAGCCAGAGTTGAAACCCGTCAAAGGATTGATGTCATGCTCCATGGCTGCGAGGTGAAGTGTCTTGTGTTTGTACGGTGGTTTAGAGACTTTAAAAAGAGAAGATAAAATAACAATAATAATTCTTTGATTTTAAATATAGGTATAAAGAGGATAAATATGCAGACACATTTTCTTTCTTATAGACATCTTTCTTCTTCTTCTTCTCCTTCTTTTTTTGTTTTTTACAAACAGTATTTTTACTGTTAGTTTCATTACTTTTCTTTTTAAAGTCCATCCCAGACTTTAGACTTTAGACTCTGCAATGTTCCTACATTTCCGAAGTGCTACAGTGTGCCCTAACAGCCTCATCCAAAGCCAAGGTCAAATGAAGGGAGTGTCGTACAAGACAAAGAAAAACATCCTGGCATGTTTTCCCCCTTCAGCAAACTGGCAGCTGCCATGGAAACAAAAAGGAAACACTCAAGACTTCTGCCAACTTGTTCGACTTAAAGACGAGCAGCTTGTAGAGTCGTCTGAGCTTCTTTTAACTCAAGGCTCATTTTGTAAATCACTTTTTGTGCCTTTATCCATTTCTATCTCAGAGGAAACTTACTTTAACTTGTGAACAACTTCTTTAAGAGAAGACAAAAGCTGAGTAACGACTTGTGTCTGTGAGGGAAAGAGAGAATCGTATTGATTTTATTAAAAAAAAAAAGAAGTTTTAAAATTCCCAGAATACCTGAGGAGACCTTGAAGGAGTTTGATACTTGGAAATGCTAAAGATGGAAAAAAAAAACTTTTCCTTTACTTCTTAATTTTGTTGAGTTGATTCTAAAATCGTTTTTCACAATTTATATTTTAGAATACTAAAAAATGCTTTCTTAGGATCAGATTACCCAGAATATGTATGTGTTAATATTTTCTTAACTTCAGCTATGAAAACTCTGAAAATGCAACAAAGGAGCAAAGTTCTGGATGAAAATACGTTATATAGAAAGTTTAAATATTTCAGTGAATGAATCACAGAATCAAAAAGTGTTATTATAAATGGTGAAGTGTCTAGGGAACATTTTTAGGTGCCAGTTTGTCTAAGTGTGCACAAAGTTGGCCATCAAAGAAAGAGGGTTTATGTTCCCCATTCGACCGTAACTTTCCTGGTGAAATCTGCAGCACCCAGCATTCCTTGGGGTTATTTAAGGACCCTTACTCACTTGGGGTTCCTCAAGAACCTCCGAGAGCTCAATGTAGAGTAAAAGGTTACTGGAAGAAGCTGTAATTCAAGAATGGTTTGTGGAGGACCCTATTTTCAGGCCTGACTGACAGGTTGCACATGTGTTTAAACTTTTCTTTAAAAACGACTTTTGCTATGCACATTACAGTATAAGTGTACACACACACACACACACACACACACACACACACACACACACACACACACATATATATATATATATATAATATGTGCAATCACACACTCAGCGGTTGATGCAT